TTTAAGTTGTTTGTCTGTTCTTGATTTAATTTTGGTAAGTGATAGTTATCCAGAAATTTGTCCATTTCCTTTGAATTTTCAAATTTTGGGGAGTACAGGTTTTCAAAGTATGACCTGAAAGTTGTCTGGATTTCTTCTGTGCCCGTTCTTATGTTCCCCCTTTTGTTTCTGATTTTGTTAATTTGCATGTTCTCTCTCTGCTTTTTTGGTTAGTTTAGATAAAGGTTTGTCTATCTTGTTGATTTTCTCAAAAAACCAACTCTTCGTTGCATTGATTTTTTTTTTTTTTTTTTTTTTTTTTTTTTTGTATTCCTGGTTTCTATTTTATTGATTTCAGCCCTCAAATTGATTATTTCCTGGTGTCTACTCCACCGGGGTGAGTTTGCTACTTTTTGTTCTAAGGCTTTCAGTTGTGCTATTAATTCTCTAATGTGGCTATCTTCTGTTTTCTTCATATGGACACTTAGTGTAATGAACTTCACTCATAACACTGCTTTCAAGGTGTCCCATAAGTTCTGGTATGTTGTGTCTTCATTCTCATTGAATTTTCAGAAGTCCTTAATTTCTTTTTCTTATTTCTTCTTTGACCCAGGTGTGGTGCAATTGCACATTGTTCAATTTCCATGAGTTTGTAGGTTTTCTGCAATTTGTGTTGTTGAATTCCAATTTTAAAGCATGGTGGTCGCCTATTCTCTTGTATTTGTTGAGGTTTGTTATGCCACCTAGTATGTGGTCAATTTTAGAGAAGGGTCCATGTGGAGCAGAGGAGAAGGTATATTCTTTTGTGTTTGAATGGAATGTTCTATAGATGTCTGTTAAACCCAATTGAGACATAACTTCTGTTAGTTCTTTTGTTTCTTTGTTGAGTTTCTGATTGGTGGTCCTTTCTAGTGGTCAGAGTGATGAGTTGAATTCTCCCACTATAAGTGTGTGAGGTTTTATGTGAGCTTTGAGTTTTAGTAGCGTTTCTTTTATGAATGTGGGTGCCTTTGTATTTGGGGCATAGATGTTCAGAATCGAGACTTTGTGTTGATGGATTTCTCCTGCAATGAATATAAAATGACCGTCTTCATCTCTTTTGATTAATTTTGGTTTGAAGTCTAACTTGTTAGATATTAGGGTAGCCATACCTGCTTGCTTCTTGAGTCCATTTGATTGCAAGATCTTTTCCTAGCCCTTTACCCTGAGGTAATGTCTATCTTTGAAGCTTAGATGTGTGTTTCTAGTATGCAGCAGATGGATGGATTTTGTCTCCATATCCATTCTGTTAGTTGTGTCTTTTTATAGATGAGTTAAGACCATTAATGTTGAGGGAGAATAAGGACCATTGATTGTTAATGCAGGATCAATGGAAAAGTCCTCTTTAGTTATATCGTAAGCACAGTTTCAAAAATTGTGCAAGAGCTGGGTCCTTTATGTTTCAGAATCCCAGTGACAGTGGAGGAGTGAAACTCGCAAGGGTTGAGGGCATCAAACCTGAAATTGTGGTTGAGCCATTTGATTCAGGAATGCAGAGTTCTGATGTAGCAGCTGAAACTCCTGAAGGAGAGGTAATCACCCTTTAGAGCCCCTGAGCAAAAATGGGTCTTCAGGTCTCCCATGCAGAAGGGCTTCTGCGTCCTATTGGTCTATCACACCACAGTAACATGGATTCCCTGAGATCTGAAGCAATTCTGGCACAAGGCAGTTTATGTTAGTGATCTGCATATGAACTTTCCAAGCTCCCCCTCTGCTAATGTGCAAGTGGCAGTCCCACGGCTCCTGGTGCTGCTTTGTCTCCTTAAATACAGACACATGATAAGTAAATCCTCTTCTGAATCACAATTCATTTGTGGAACTGCAGAACTGTCTACACTTAGGTCAACCCAACTGGATAACTTTGGTTCCAGTTTATACAATGGACTGATCTGTGCAGCAGTTTCAAATGTGCATACTTGTTGCATTGGGTGGGGTGTGACCCCTTCTTCAATACTAAACCACCTCTAATATAGCCTGTCTTCTCCGTCTTCTAGAGATATTAGAGGGGCATCAAATGTGTCAAAAAATATTGAATGTAGGCTCACAAGAGCTTTATGCTATTTAATCCAATGCCACTTTTGTGCTAAATCTGAGCCAGTAGGAAAGGGCATTTCTCCACCATTAATTCAGAAATATGATATGTTTAATTGTTAAGACAGGATTTGGCTGCTTGCTATAAGTTCTCATGGGGAAACACAGACCTACAGAGAGTAGGAGTCTCCCCACACAAGACTTGTTATCAGAATGACACAGAGTCACTATTTCAACAACATAAGGGAATCTCTGAAGCAGAGTTTTGGTTTCATGTTGAAAAGGTCTTTGAAGGGCTGAGTCCCAGCTGTAAGGCAATGTTTTCTCTTAAGGGATTCTTTGCTGCTGGGAAGTGGACTCTCCTAGACTGATGCTTTTCTCTTTGTCAGACACCTGCAGCAGAGTTCATGCCCACACTCTCACTGAGAATTCCTCCATCATGGCACAATAGACACTGATACCTGAATTTCAAATGTTGCAGGTTTCCCCCACTTTATCCATTGATAAGAAAAGTGAGAGCCTACTGCTCACAAGCTCCCACTCACTATGCAAAGCACAGAGCCTAGAGGCTCAAAGCCCAGGCTTGTATCTACCAGGGGTATCCATCCTAAGCTTTATCCCTATTGCCTGCATTAGTGGGCCAGGCATCTGCCCAAGGATGGGACCCCAGAAAGGACAGGTGACAAGCAGGACAACCTCAGGGTACAGTCAGCAATAGGGGCATGCAGGGCAGCTTCATCTAGGATACCCTTGACCACTAAGAAGTCTCTAGGCTCCTGCAAGGCAGGACAGCCTTGCTTTCTCAGGAAGGAACCTATGGAATCCAGCTGAGCTGGACACCCCTCCAGAGCCTACCTGCTCCATGTTGCCTGACCTATTTATGCCTCCCAAATTCCACTCCCCAAGTCCCTCACTAGAATGGAAAATAAATCCCTGGGCAGCTGTTTGTACTCAGGCAACTGTATTTGTCCTACCCTTTGGGTTCCGACAGGCTTTGTCCATAGCTACAACTACCAAGAGTACCACCTGTGCACATTCCCTCTGCTTCTTGGCCTCTGTCTCCATCTCTCTCTCTCCATCTTCTCTTCTGCATCTCCTATTAACAGAGGCTGTTTTCCCTCTAACCCACCCCTAATAAAAATAAAACCCTACAAAAAAGCTGTTTCATGTGGTACCTTTCACTGGAGTATTGCTTTTAAAATTGAATTGGTGGAGGGGGAGGGGATGGTCTATGGGGGGGGTTACCCTTGAGGTTTTGTGTGTGTGTGTGTGTGTGTGTGTGTGTGTGTGTGTGTGTGTGTGTGTGTGCCTAATTTTGGTACTACATAAAGAAAGGATCTATCAAATTAAATGCATTTCATGGAGATCACATCCAATAAACAAGAAGACAGGGATTATAAGTGTGTTTTTATATGGCTGGCAAGAAGCACAGCAAAAGACACAAAATTAAATTTTGTCTGCATTATGCATTTTTTGGAAGACACAGGGTTAGTGCAATCCTTGTTATCTTGGAACTCACTCTGTACTTCACGAAGGCCTTAAACTCAAACACATAACCCTGTCTACTGAAGGTACAATTAAAGGCTTGCACAATCATGCTTGGCACTGTTACGAATCTTTGGCGGTTGAACAAAAGATGTTTTATGACAGCTTTTCCCGGGGCATGGAGATAACACTTACTGGCTGCTCTTTCAGAGGACACAGGTTTGATCTCCAATACACACAGCAGCTCATAATTGTCTGGAACTCCAGCTTCGGGGATTCTAGCCTCAACCTTCACCAGGACTTCGTGGAGTACACAGTAAAATAAGCAGGCAAAACACCCATACACAGTAAACAAAATAAGAGAATTTTAATTTGAATAAACTCTGTGATATTTCTAATTTTTAAATCTCATTAAAATTTTCACAAGTTTATCTTTATGTTTCTATTATATATATTCTTGTTATTGATAACCAAAAAACCAAGAAAATGGTATGTCACAGTATTTCCTTGGTGTTTTTCTCTGTATCTCTAAAGACTTGTAATATGGATACAGGATATGTCAGTCTTTGATATGAAAGTTTCTTTTCAATATGAATATTCTGATGTGTTTGTCTAAGAAGTTTGCATCTAGTAGATTTGTCACATTACTTACAACTCCAATGTCTCTCTTCAGTATGGAACCACTGATATTTTATAAAATGTGACACATTGGTAAAGGACTTGTTACATTTAATACATTTGTAAGGTTTCTCCTCCGGTGTGAACACTGATGGCTTTTAAGTTGCAAGTTGTAAGTTCTAGATAAAGGACTTGTCACACTGCATTCATTTGTAAGGTTTCTCCAGTATGAACTCTCTGATGTCTTTTAAGACTTGAGGCCCTGGTAAAAGATTTATCACATTCAATACAACTGTAAGGTTTCTCACCAGTATGAACTCTCTGATGTGCTTTAAAATTAGACACTTTGGTAAAACACTTGTCACATTCAATACATTTGTAAGGTCTCATTCCAGTGTGAACTCTCTGATGTGCTATAAAATCTGAATCCAAGGTAAAGGTCTTGTCACATTCCATACATTTGTAAGGCCCCTCCACAGTATGAACTCTCAGATGCCTTCTAAGACTTGAGGCCCTGGTAAAGCATTTGTCACATTTCATGCAACTGTGAGGTTTCTCTCCGGTATGAACTCTCTGATGTCTTCTAAGATGTGAAACCATGGTAAAGGATTCGTTACATTCCATACAACTGTAAGGTTTCTCTCCAGTATGAACTCTCTGATGTCTTACAAGATATGTGTGCTTTGTAAAGGACAGGTCACATTCCATGCATTTGTAAGGTTTCTCTCCAGTGTGAACTCTCTGATGTATTATAAAATCTGAATGCCAGGTAAAAGACTTGTCACATTCCATACATTTGTAACCTCTCTCTCCAGTGTGAACTCTCTGATGTATTATAAAATCTGATTCCCAGGCAAAGGACTTGTCACATTCCATACATTTGTAAGGCTTCTCTACAATATGAACTTTCTGATGTGTTCTAAGATTTGAGTGATGCATAAAGGACTTGTCACATTTCATGCATTTGTAAGGTCTCTCTCCAGTGTGAACTCTCTGATGTTTTCTAAGATCTGAATTCCAGGTAAATGACTTGTCACATTCCATACATTTGTAAGGTCTCTTTCCAGTGTGAACTCTCTGATGTCTTCTAAGATCTGAATTCCGAATAAAGGACTTGTCACATTGCATACATTTGTGAAGTTGTTCCCCACTATGAACTCTCTGATGTCTTCTAAGATCAGTGAAAATGGTAAAAACTTTGTCACATTCTGTACACCTGTAAGGTCTTTCTCTAGTATGAACTCTCTGATGTCTTCTAAGATATGAAGAGCAGTTAAAGGATTTGTCACATTCCACACATTTGTAAGGTTTCTCTCCTGTATGAACTCTCTGATGTCTTCTAAGACGTGAGATACGGGTAAAGGATTTGTCACATTCCATACAACTGTAAGGTTTCTCTCCAGTATGAACTCCCTGATGGGTTCTAAGACCTGAATTGCAGGCAAAGGACTTGTCACATTCCATACATTTGTAAGGTCTCTCTCCAGTATGAACTCTCTTATGTCTTCTAAGATGTGAGACCTGGATAAAGGATTTGTCACATTCCTGACAAGAGTAAGGTCTCTCTCCTGTATGAACTCTCTGATGTATTCTAAGAAGTGAGACCAGGGTAAAGGATTTGTCACATTCCAGACAAGTATAAGGTCTCTCTCCTGTATGAACTCTCTGATGTATTCTAAGAAGTGAGACCAGGGTAAAGGATTTGTCACATTCCAGACAAGTATAAGGTCTCTCTCCAGTATGAACTCTCTGATGTATTCTAAGAAGTGAGACCTTGGTAAAGGACTTGTCACATTCCTTACAACTGTAAGGTTTCTCTCCAGTATGAACTCCCTGATGGCTTCTAAGGCCTGAAGTGCAGGCAAAGGACTTGCCACATTCCACACATTTGTAAGGTCTCTCTCCAGTATGAACTCTCTTATGTCTTCTAAGATGTGAAACCTGGGTAAAGGATTTGTCACATTCCAGACAAGTATAAGGTCTCTCTCCTGTATGAACTCTCTGATGTATTCTAAGAAGTGAGATCAGGGTAAAGGATTTGTCACATTCCAGACAAGTATAAGGTCTCTCTCCTGTATGAACTCTCTGATGTATTCTAAGAAGCGAGACCCTGGTAAAGGATTTGCCACATTCCATACAACTGTAAGGTCTCTTTCCAGTATGAACTCTCTGAGGTCTTCTAAGGTGTGAGTCCTGTGTAAAGAACTTGTCACGTTTGACAGATTTGTAAGGTTTCCCCTCAGTGTGAGCACTGAGGTGTGTTCTAAATTGTGAGTGCCAAGAAAAGGACTTTTCACATTCTATATGTGTGTAAGGTTTCTCCACAGTATGAAGGCTTTGTTGTATTTTACAACTGGAATGCTGGGTAAAGGATTTTTCACTATTGTTGCACTGGGAGGGTTTAAGTCCAGTATGAATTCTCTCATGTTCAGTGAGGCTTGAGGCAGTCCTGAAGCATTTCTTGCATTTCCCACACTGGTGTGGTTTCACTGCAATGTAGATTAGTTGTTGCAAAAGACTGTATGCAGAGCTGAAAGAGTCATCATGTTCTCCCTGCCTGTGATCTTTCTTTGCAGTGTAGAGTCTCTGATATTGAGTAATGTTAGAACACAAATTTAAAGCTTTCTCACAGTCTTTGGATTTGCAAGGTTCTTCTCCACTGTGCATGCTTTCATGTCTATCTGGGTTTGATGAATCAACAGAGGCATCCCTGTGATTACTGCATCTGTAGTTATTAAAGTTTTCTGTAGTTTCACTTGTTCTATAAAGTGCACATGTGGAGGAGTCATGAAGCACTTTGCCAAGCTCATTACACTGACAACATTCCTTTTTAGTCTTCACATGGTGATGGACAGGATCAATTTTGCAATATTTCTCTGAAAAGGAGTACATTTCAGATTAATAGGCCTTGTTCTAATAATAAACATATGATAAATGACTGTCTCCCTAAGTTGTCATTTAACATAAGTGAACCTGGAATGATTTAGATTAGAGCTCCCAGTAATGGACATTTTTCATTCACTGTAATTGCTTGGATTCTCACAAACACAGCATGACAACTTTCAAAGTTCAGTGATTTTATAAGAGATAGCTCATCTTTCTCAAAAATCTCTAAATAAAAAAAGACGAAAGAAGAAAATAATCGATGGCTGTGAATTAGCTGTAGGATAGAGCTCATTGAGGGATTCAATTGAGAATATATGTCCCTATCTTTAAATAATTCTTCACAGAAACTGATAAAGAGGAGTTTAATCCAATCCCAGGTTTACAGTATTTATAGTTACTAAAGACAATATTCTGCCAGATATCAGAGGCTCTAGCTTTTTTGAGGCAGGGCTGTAATGGGCAGCTATTGCTTATTTCTGTCAGTTAATCTCAGTGTTCCACACAGCACTATGCTCCTTGTCTTTCTTCATAAGGTTATTCTCAGGTCCACTCTGACTCCTAAGATTACTTCCCAGAGGATGTCTGTGTATTCATCACTGGGAATAAAATGAAGGATGTGATATAAGATATGCATACAATGAAGGCAATTACAGAGTAACATTACTTCAAACACCCAAGTTAAACTTAAAACTTTGAAAAATTGTTCCAGGTCAATTTCAGCATTGTCAAGTAAAATTGCATTTTGTACTGGTATTAAGTCACCATAATACAGGTATAATAGGTCAGGAGGCCTTCTATCAGTTATTACAACAGACAGGATGTATCTTGGAGCCAGGACACTACACTAAGTTAAATGATCAGGAATCATTACAAGTGAAATTGAATATTAAAAAAAAAAAAAAGAAAGAAAGAAAGAAAGAAAGAAAAAAAAAAAAGCATTCTCAGCTCTGGCTTGAAGCCTTTGCTGTTATCCTGCTTATTCACTAGTCCACCCTATTGTGGCTACTCCATTCTCTCCAGATTCCAGGGCAATCTCATTCTTTCCAGACAGGTGATCACAATTATCTTGCATACAATAATCCACCAGTTCTTTCAGGCAGTCCATAACACATGCTAGAATTTTCAGAAATACAGAAGTCTAAAACAGTACTGGGCTCAGTATATGAAAACATATAGCAGAGGATTTTAAACAAGTTTCCTGGATTGATATTGATTGTCAAATTCCTCAGTATATTTAGTACTTTCTGTTTTATTTCTTTTGAATTTTTCTCAGATATAAACACGTCTATTGCAATAATGGACATGGAGCTTTAAGATATGAGTTGAAATATTATATGACACTGAGTATATGAGTGAATCTTGGAACCAAAATGAATGGTGCATGACACCTTTGGAATGCAAATTGAAAAGAGAAACCAAAATACCAAACTACTAAATTAGCCCTGTCTCTTGTTTGTTTGTTCAGGGCATCTTAACAGATTTTTGACAAAGTATTACACTGTAATTTGTTGGGAATTAGCAAGCAAAATGTTCTCACCCACAAAGACCAGGTTGCTGTAATTTTCCATCATCACATCAATGTACAAAGCCTTCTGAGCAGAGTCCAGGCATTCCCACTCCTCTTGTGGGATGTCCACGGCTACATCACTGAATGTCAACACATCCTGAAATAAAAAAAGTATAGTTTGACCAAGTGCTACCTAGATGTGCTTTCCTGGACATAAGGAGACTGAATGTAGAGGAGCTAAGATAATTACTCCAAAATATGATTTTTCAATACAGTTACATTCTATCATGAATTATCTGATTCTGATAAAACAGATTGGAAACAATAATCTTACAAGCAATATGCATGAAACAAGAAATACATTAAGGTCTAGACATGGTTATCTGTTATGGATGTGGTATTTATGTTACATAGGATGACATTGTACATGTGTCAGCTTTAAATGCTGTACCTGTAAATCATGCTAAAACACTGACATACATCAATCCTGTCCGTACTTGTGCCTTACATGAATATTCTAACAGACACAGGTGGGATGTTTAAACTCTAGGTCCAATGACACACGGTCAATTAGGAAAGAGGGCAGAATATATGACTAACTTTATAAACATGAGTTTTGTTTTTTTTCCACAGAGGCAAGAATTGTAACAGTATTACACACTGTAAATTTTAACATTGACATATAAGATAAGTAGCCTATGGTGTTAATTTTATGACAATATTTGGACCACTATCAACAGAGAAAAATTTGGACCAGAATGAACAGAGAAAACTCTGCATCTCAATATTTGATTTAGTTCAAAAATTCTCTGAGAGTATGTGTAAGTCAATGGAGAAAAATGACAATTTCAGAAGTTTATGAGAATATTTCATTTCACTCACCAACAGTACTAAAAATTGAAAGAACTCGACATCAAAAAAAATGTTAAAGGTAGAGTTAAGAGAATCCATATCAGTGACACTTTGAATGATGCTAATAGCAAGAACTTACCAAAAATTAAATTAATTTAATACCAAGAAAATAAAACTGCAAATCAATAAATGGGCTAAACAGACACTTCTCAAACACAGAATCCAATAGACAATAAACATTGAAAAATGATCAGGATACCAAAAGGGCCATTATGGAAATGCAAATTAAAACTACTTGGAAATACTGACTCACCCCAGACAGAATGGCTGGCATCAACTAAACCAACAAGAAATGTAAGATGGCATAGGAGAGAAAGGAAGCCTTGTTCACTGTTGACTGAGGGGAGGGTGTAAATTAAAAAAAAGCTATTGTGGGAATCAATTTGGAGATTATTAAAAAAAACAAAAGAAACAAAAGAAACAACAACAACAAAAAAACTGAAGACAGAATTAACGTATGGACCCAGCTCTTTCACTCCTGGTCATATACCCAGAAAAAAACACACCCCACTACAGGGTGTTTATCCCCCACCTTTATAGCTGTTTTATAACGAAAGGGAAAGGACTACAATCAAAGCTTTCCTTATCAACAGATAAATATTTTATGATATTGTATGAAACTGTGTACAATTCAGCTAAAGAATGGTCCAGGGAAGAAATTTTTCAGGAAAATGGGCAGACCTAAAATGTGTAATAAGTGCAGTCATACACTTTTAGAAAGAAGACATCATGATCTTGCTCACATCCAGAATCTAGCCAAACATTTACATACATACATACATACATACATACATACATACATACATACATATAAACAATGTATATGTGGGTACAGTGTAACTTAGAGAAAAGAGAACAAGTAAGGATAAATTATCAGGGACTGAATACAGGTAATGAACACCAGTTATGGAAAGGATATTAAGGTAAGAGCTTTTATAGTTCTAATTCTGACAAAGGTTTTTGGAGTTTGGGCAGTGGATAAGAAATTCAAAATATAATCAATTTCTAAATATAAAATCCCATGTGAAATCACAAAGCTTCTGTTCCCTGTGATGACTGTACCTGTATAAACTACACTGAGTTTTATATTCTTTGGTCTGCTTATTGCAGTGTTTGATTTTATTGTTGTCTGTTCACAGAATTGATCACAATAAAAATGTTAAAAATCAGAAAGAAAAAATTAAAGGTTTCTATTATTTTTAAGTATAACATAATTAAGTAAAGGGGGGGAAAGGACAACTGACCTGAGACATATTTACTGGAGAATTAGCCATTTCTTACTGTTTTTCTTCTTTGAGTTAATCTTTCAGGAACAATGAACACATGGCTCATTTCCCTATAAAATAAAGGAGAACAATGTCAAACCACATGAAAAGACCTAGGAAAAAAAATATGAGCAAATGTCCAGTCAATGATCTCAAAGACAGGAGAGCACAGAAAGACATTAGAAGCTTGAGAAAAAAATCACCATCAAGCATCTTGTTGTACAAACACTACTCTCTTAAAATTGATAGAGACCAGGATAGTCATCAAACAACAATTGATTTCACTAAAATAACAGACAGATAATAAATTAGATGCAAAATAAACACTGGATAGTCAGAGGAATCCTGAATGAGAACATGGGAAATAATAAGTCTTTTTTTTTTTAACATATCGATCAAAGTTCCCTCTCCCTCCCTCTTTCCCTCTCTCGACCCCTCACATGCACCCCAACCACCCTCCCCTTCCATCCCCCCTGCCCACTCCACAAGTAGGGTGTCGTGATCCAGGAGGAGTCATCTAAATCTGCCAAGTCATTTGAAGTAGGGACTAGGACTTCTCTATTGTCTGTAGGTCAAGAGAGCATCCCTCCATGGGGGATGTGCCTGCCTAGTCCTTTTGTGCATGAGGAATACATCCTGGTTCCACTGTCTGAGGTCCCTTAGACTGCTCAGGCCTTCTAGCTGAGACCCATATTCAGGGGATCCTGAATTCAGTGAGTCCCATGCTGGATATCCAGCTATCAGTCTGGGGGCTCGTTAGCTCCTCCTTCTTCAGGTCCGCTATCTCTATGTATTTCTACAACCTGGTCTTGTCCTTTCTCTCTGCATCTGGATTCTACTTGGACTCAAAAGTGTCTAGTTGTGGGTGTTTGCTTCTGTTTCCGACAGGTACTAGATGAGGGCTCCATGATGGTGGATAAGTTGGTTGTTGATCTCATTATCAAGGAAGGGCATTTATGGTAGCCTTTCCACTGTTGCTCAAATTGTTAGTTTGCAACAGTCTTGTAGGTCTCTAGACATTTCTTTAGGTTCAGTTTTCTCTTCAAACCTATAATGGCTCCCTCTTTTATGCTCTCTCTCTTTCTCTCTTTCTCTTGTCTATTCCTCACCTGACTCAATCTTCCTTGTCCCACGTGCTTTCCTCTCCTCACTTTCTTTTTCTCCTAGTTCCCTCTCCCCTTACTGCCCCTCCCTTCCCATGTGCTCTAGAGAACTTTTCCCTTCCCCCTTCTGTGAGGGACCTTATATGAATCTCTTAGAATTACCAAATTAAATCAAGAACACACAAACAACTTAAATAGACCTATAACCCACAATGAAATAGAAGCAGTCATCAAAAGCCTTAAAACCAAAAACAGCCCAGGGCCAGATGGCTTCAGTGCAGAATTCTGCCAGAAATTCAAGAAAGAGCTAATTAATGTCAATACTCCTCAAATTGTTCCGCAAATACAAACAGAATGTTCATTACAAAACTCTTTTTACAAGGCCACAATCACTTTGGTACCCAAGCTACACAAAGACACAACTAAGAAATGAAATTACAGACCAATATCCCTGATGAACATCGATGCAAAAATACTCAATAACATACCGGCAAACCAAATCCAAGAATATACCAGAGAAATCATCCACCATGACCAATTAGGCTTCATCCCTGGATTGCAGGGATGGCTTAACATATGAAAATCTATCAACGTGATCCACCATATAAACAAACTGAAAAAGAAAAACCATATGATCATCTCCCTGGATGCTGAAAAACCCACACACCTATGAACACCTGATTTTCAACAAAACAGCTAAAATTATACAGTGGGGAAAGGACAGCATCTTCAACAAATGGTGCTGGCACAATTGGATGAGGGTGTGTAGAAGACTGCAGATAGACCCATGTCTGTCGCCATGTACAAAACTTAAGTCCAAATGGATCAAAGACCTCAACATCAATCCAGCCACACTGAACCTCTTAGAAGAGAAAGTAAGAAGTACCCTTGAACAAATTCGTATAGGAGAACCCTTCATGAACATAACTCCAGTAGCACAGAAACTGAGATCGACAATTAATAAGTGGGATCTCCTCAAATTAGAAGCTTCTATAAGGCAAAGGACACAGTTGACAAGACCAAAAGGCAACCCACAGACAGGGAAAAGATTTTCACCAATCCTACATCTGACAAAGGGCTGATCTCCAAAATATACAAAGAACTCAAGAAACTAGTCAACAAAACACCAAATAACCCTATTAAAAAATGAGGTACAGAACTGAAGAGACAATTCTCAATAGAGGAAATCAAAAAGGCTGAAAGACACTTAAGAAAGTGCTCAACATCCTTACCTATCAGGGAAATGCAAATCAAAACTTTGAGATACCATCTTATTCATGCCAGAATGGCTAAAATTAGAAACACCAATGACAACTTATGCTGGAGTGGATGTGGAGAAAGGGGAACACTCCCCCACTGCTAGTGAGAGAGCAAACTTATACAGCCATTTTGGAGATTGGTATGGTGGTTCCTTGGCAAAATGGGAATGACTATAACACAGGACTTGACTATCCCCCTCTTAGGCATATAACCAAATGATCCACATCCATGCAACAAAGACATGTGCTCAACTATGTTCATAGCAGCATTATTTGCAATACCAAGAACCTGGAAGTAACCTAGATGCCCCTCAACTGAAGAATGGATAAAGAAGATGTAGCACATCTACACAATGGAATACTACTCTGCAGAAAAAAATAATGAAATCTTGAAATTCTCAGTCAAGTGGATGGAACTTGAAGAAATGGTCCTGAATGAGGTAACCCAGTCACAAAAAGAGGAACATGGTATGTACTCGCACATATGTGGATTTTAGACCTAGAGCAAAGAATTACCAGCCTATAATTCACACCACCAGAGGAACTAGGATACAAGGTAGATTCTAAGGGAAATAATAAGTCTTATGTGAAGAATAGGTGAATGAATACACGAGAGCTGGAAAGTAATTATCCATGAGCAAGACAGCAAAGCAGTAATTCTCAAAAAGAAAGAAAAGGGCTACTAACAAAATTCCAACACCAACAACATAAAAACAAAACATAGGAAATAAAAGAGACATGACAAAAAAAAAAAAAAAAAAAAAAAAAACTAGCCACACTGAAAATCAAAATACAGAATCAACACTCAAATTAATAAATCCTCAAGGTACTCAACATAGTACTCCACAGATACTTGGTCACCCATGTTCGTGGCTGCTCTGCACACAATATCTACAAAATGGAAACAAACTAAAGTTCATTAACTGGATGAATTAATAGTGACAGTGTGGTAAACTTACACTATAGAATACTACTCCGCTGTAAAGAAGATTGAAATCATGAGCTTTACAAGTAAACAAATGAACTTAGAAAAGATCATTCTGAGTGTGGTAACATAGCCCAGAAAGAAAGACAATGCATGTTCTCTCTCATAGGAAGTTCCTAACTCCAAATCTTCAGATGTGAGTATACAACCTGGAGTGACTGCAGTAGCCAGAAAAGTAACAAGACAGCACTGGGAGGTACGAGATATTAATAGAGATGGGAGTAACAGGGAACAAGTGATCTGAAGGGGGAAATGGAAAGACAGGGTCAGGATGTAATTATGGAGAACAGAAGGATACAACAAAAGAATAATATAATAGAAAGGATGTCTGCAAAATTCATAACGAATCCACCTATTCCTTGACTATTTTCCATCAATGTGGTGGTATTGTGCTTGTACAGATAAAGCCTGTCTGAGGGCTAGATGGTCCTAGTTTACTGATTACATTCCTAGGCTGTGTGAGACAGTTTACCTCGATCAGCCCTTGTTCCCCTCTCCACTGCAATTGCAGAGATTTGCCTTCCTGCAATTACCTACATAGACAGGCATATGGCCAGTGTTTAGGGCCCAAGCAAAATCATCCCATCTAAAACATTCCAAGGACATGGAATTGCTGCATGTGCAAAGTTGTTGATTCATAGCTGCCTAGACAGATAGAAAAAATAAGCATACCCCTTGGCTTTACCTCACTAGCAGATAGAGAAGCAATAACCTAAACTAACCCTAAAAGAAAAAATACTCAAATTTCTTGTTTTATTAACTCAAGATTTTAGCTCAGAGATTCAGTGTTTCAATCACTTACGCTAGAGCATAACTACAAAGGTAATCAGTCCATTTGCTCAATCTCAGGTTTCCTGAAAACCTGTGCCACCACTGAGGCCAGAGCATTGAAAATCACCAGGTTTAGTTTCTTTTGGAAATTAAACTTAGACCCTCTCTTTCACCTACAGTTCTAATTACCTGAGGCTAAAAGTTTCTCCTAGCAGTTTTAGTTTACTGTTCTCTGTGTAAATCTTACCTACCTTGCTAATCCCAACAAACTCAACCCTCACATTGTATTGTAAAAAGAATCACTGTTGCAAATGTATATGTCCTTGTACCTCCACGAACTGGGGTAGACAAAGAATTTGAGAGAGAAAGAAATGGAGAGATAGAAACAGAGAAACAGAACAGCAAGGGAGCAAAAGGAGAATAAGGAACATGCAGAGGAGCAACTGTGTGTGAGTCAATTCCTTATTCCCTCGGATTTTAGTTCCCTCCATTATTTCAAGTTCCCTTTTGTGAAACCTGATTGAAAATTTTAGAAGCTGGACTTCAAAATAGACACAAAAAGAAAAAAAAAAAAGTAGAGAATGTGCTAGAATACCAAATGTACAAAGTTATGAAAACAATAAATAAACCCAGAGGTATTAATTTTCAATCATTTCATAACACATTAAAATGATGTGAATAAACATTATTCAACAATTGTATGAAAACATGGTCAGTGGTTTGAATAAGGGCACCATCAGTCACAGGCATATTTAAATAAAACTTGATTTGACTCCATTATCACTTCTTCTGAAGAAAGTCTTCTTCTGCCTACATAAGGACAACCCTGAGGAGATAAATGATAAATCTCAGTGGAAGTCTCCAAAATTATTGCTAGTGGCAAAACAAATTTCAAGTCACACTTCCACATTCACTTGATCCCCTCTCCAGTCCTTCACCAATGCCTCCACCAC